CTCGTCGTCAGCTGCCATTCTGTGGATTTCAACAGACTCGCCACGCAACGCGTCCGTGAGTGCTTGGAGGGTTTCAATCGATATTGGAGCTGGTTCTTCTTGATGAAGCGCAGGCGTTCTTGGTGGAACTGCATTAGCGGGTCGGTCTGTACGTCCTGCACCACCGCCATATCGTTCGCCGCGACCACGGACATCAACAAATTGCCCGTGATCCTTGCATCCACAGGACGAAGGGCAGTAGGGTACAGCTAATGACGACAGCCCTGGGGAAGCCGACGAGGGTGCAATTGTCGAACGTGCCGTACGCACAGCACCTGGAGAAGAACATCATCTCGTACGGGCTATTAGAATTCAAGGGGTACGAGCTAGCGTACCGCGGGAGGTGCCGTCTACTCGCGGCAATGGACGGAGGACCAGTGATATTCGACGAAAAAAATCGAACAACGTGCTGATGGCCAGCTCGATGAGATATTCTGTGTGCTCAACCGCTCACCGCCTCACACTGACTCTCGAACTCCTCTGGTCCTCCTGTAGGCTTAAGTCGCTTACTAGGCGAGGTGTTCTCTGAATATAAACCCTTTCAGCTTTGCCGAGCCTGCGATTATTGCTGCCTGGCTTCCTTTGAACAAGATAATCTGCACAAGCAGTAAATGCCTTGCAGTCTTTGCTGTAGACGCAAGCCTTGCAGCACAAAGTGGGACTTCGTTGAGCGTGTCCGAATATGTGAAGAGGGTAGGCTAATTAGAGGCAATTGGATCAGACATTTTTGTATGAAGCTACGTACAGAGCACAGGGGGTGCCGATTCCAGTGCGTCGGATTCGCCGTCAGATGAATCAGATGTAAGGTAAGGCTACGACTATTTTAAGTTGCTTGAGGTTATCAAAATGGGTACAGTTCGCACCAGTGGAATCCGCTACCTGCGTGCCAGCATCAACCCAGACCTTCATTATCGAATCCACTCCGAAGTCATATGTTCTATTCGTGCGACGGCACCTGAAGCACGTCCGAAAGCCGCAGTTTAGTCTCATGGAATTTATTCTGAGTATTTTAATACGATGTGTAATATAGCTGACTTTATTTTGGCTAACAGTTTGGATATATCTGAGCTACTGGCAGATGCGCCACAACATGCAACAGCTGTTTGTATGATTTCAAGCGGTCCGATAACCTCCGTCGCCAGCAACGATGACCTTACAGAGGTGTGTTCACTAAGGGAGTCATTAAAGCAACATTGCTGATCAGTAACACTGGAAAATCCTTTCGTAAATTACGCGTAATTTACTTTTAGGAAGATCGCCTCCACGAAAGGTCGGATTCTCGAAAGGTCACATTTGTGGATTCATCTTGAAAAGGCGGCTCATTTCGAAATTTTCCTGCCCGAGCTCAAGTCAAGAGAGCTCCGTGAACAGGTAAGCTCGATCGAGCTCATGTCTGACGGTAATTTCTAACAAGAAGATTGTGTGCGGAGTGAAGGACTACGTGACTGCTGTAGCCGATCAGGTAATTGCGAGGATGAAGAACTAGCTTGGCTCGATCCTTCAGTTACCTCGGGCGAGGGCGAGCGAACGCGAGCTTGAGCCTCACTCCGTCCATACACGCTCTGCAAACGCCCGCCGATCAGGCGGGGCTGTTGTAGCGAGCGAGCGAAGCGAAGCGAGCGCTGCAACCCGATATTTTTTTTTCCTAGACACCGCTCCTGGCCGAACCCGAGGACTTAGCGTAAGGAACGAGGGGGTGGGGCAAGCCGCGGAGCGGCGCCCCCCCCCCCTGAGCGAAGCGAGAGAGGGGCGGGCCCCCCCGAAGTGACGTTGCTAAGTCCGCAGGCGAGTGCCAACGCGCGAGTGGCTTCCCAACTCTAGCTTATCAATAAGGATTCACCTTCAAATGTTTGTAGCGCAAACTATCGTGAAATAAAGCATGTATGTGTGGAGAATTTTCGATTGCACAAATGATTTTTTGTTTGTGAACAGCTCTTACAAAGGATTTTGTTGAATGCGGATCTTTTAAAGATTTTGCTGTGTCGGTTACAGCTTTGGTAGATATATGTTCGAGCGGTCGCTTGCGACTCTTGGTTGAAAAAGATTTGTCGTGGCCAGCTGCATGTACACGCCAACGCATTATCTCCATTATCTAATTTGTCGAGCCTATTGGTGGTGGCTGTGCTGTGGTCGGGTGCACAGCTCCACGACAATGATATGCACGACACCAAGGCGCGGTTGGTGTCAAGCGCTGTCGGTCAGACCCTACGGAGACAGTCGTGATCTCGTCGCTTCGTGACGGATGTTCGAGATCAGCCTCCATCTTGGCCTCGAAGAGGTGGTTGCGCAGCGGCGACAGAAGCTCGACAGACAGCGTCGCGGGCTTTGCACGCAGTACAAGGCTAGCAACATCAAGGCGGTGAACACGTACGCGCAGAGCAACAGCTCAGAACGTTTGATGGCAAGATCACGTTTGCGGAGTTCTCGGCGGTTGTCGGCAAACGCAACGGTTGCAAGATCTTGGCGGCTGCGACTGTTGGCTAGATTGCAAGATAGCTTTGGTCATTTAAATATTTTGCCGTAATAGAATTGTCAGTGTTACTGATCGGTAACACTGCCAGTGTTGCAATAACGCGTACCGTTCACTAACCCTTGTCAAATCTGCGAAAACTGTGGTCAAAGGCAACATACTTCACCTCGCTCGCCACCAGTGTGCATCAAGGTGCCGATCGATGGCGGAACGGTTTAAGCTCCGAAATGAGATGGTGCAGGCTCGGCGCGAGATGCACGCCACGTGAATACGACAAAGGCGCCGACACCAGACATGCGATATAATTCCTAATAGGCTTGTGGATGATCTTGACCACCTGGCGCTGGAGAATGATGACGCCATCATTCATCAACTGCTGGATAATGATGACGGAATCATTGATTTTGAAGTGGAAGTGGGGTGTAATCAGGGGTTAATGGTAACTCCAAAATCGGTGAAGTTAATATTGTGAAAATATCACCTGTAGACCAGCTAATATAAAAATATCACCTAATATTTTATTCTGAGACAATATGATATTATTAAATATCAACTTAATATTAGTTAATACGATATTATATTTTTTAAAGATTGCGTAATCGGGCTAAATTC